GCCACTGAAATTATTGAGGATTTAGGCTAGGCCTTATCTTAGGGTGTGTTTGGGTTTCCTCTTGGAGAAGAAAAACCACAAAATCTTTTCTTTTTTTTTTCCCTGGCAGCTGCAGGACTGTGTCCTATGCCATCTGAAAGATAACTGTGCAGATTTAAAAAAATCTGCTTCTCTTCTGGTCTTCTGTTCAAGTGAAAAAATGATTGAGTAAACTGGGTGTAAGGAGTTGTTTAGTACCCATTTATTTCTATTTATTATTTGGTAACAGCGTGTTCTTGACCCAGGAAGATAAACTCTAATGGACTTCCGATATCCAAATGTTGGTGCTGATCTGGAGCTGCATGTAAATTGAAATGTAAGATTTGGGGATTATTTCTGCCATAGCTGCTTTCTGAAGGAGCAAGTTGCAGTGACATAAGCTTTGTATCCAGTTTGCCTGTGTTACACCAGCATATGGCTCAGACACTTTGCTCCCATCCCCAACAAAATGGGCTCCAATTTTAGAACGTCCTTTACTGCATCTCCACTTTTTTTTTTTAATACTTCAAGATTTTAAAAATTCTTTTTATTTGCAGCATTTTAATAATCATGCTTAAGTCCATTAAGCTTTGCAGGAACTAGAAAGAAATAGGAAAACAATGAGTCATTAAAATACATAATGTGGAGGATTAAATTCCCCATTCTGGTTGAATTCCTCCCAGGGAATAAGGGAAGGTCAGGCAAGTATCATATCATGGTAAGGAAATCTCAGAATTCTAGCAAGTTTTGTCTATTTTTTTGGGGGGGGGGTCAATACTCCTGAAATTTGACTTTGAGAATGCAAGGTCACCTCTGCTGGATGTCCTTAACAAATAGCTTTGGTATGATGTTAAATAGCAATTTAGATTTTTTTACTCCTGGTGTGGCAAAATGAGAATGGGTGGCTTTTACCGTGATCAAATCCAGATCAGTCTTTTCTCATTAGATAAAGAATATTTTCTGCAAAGCTCAATATCATTTAATCACATAAAACTAGACACACAGAGCCAAAATTTACATGTATATAAAATAAACTATTAGGGCTACCTTTTTGTGTTGTTTTGTTTTCCTTGCAGACATGTTGAAAAAAATCTGTGTAATTAGCACGGGGTCCACATGAAGCTTGAAATCAAATTCAGATCTCTGTCTACTGATAGTCAGGTTTTTCTCTTTTTTACTGCGTAAAATTTGGGATAAGGTCATTTTAGTTGAAATGTGAAGAGAGTTCTGAAGAATTTGCAAAATACTTGGGTATGTATTTCAGCTCCTGTATTTCTGGGATGCCACTGCTTTGTATCTTGGGTCAGCAATTGAAGCAGAGGAGATTTTTAATTATTCAACCTAAATGAATGATCAGTTTAATTTTAAGGATGTGTTTACAATGTGCCAGTGACATAATAAATAGCTTATTGCAAATGATATTTTAGGCTTTCAGTGGACCTGAAATTTAGGGACAATTTTTGGCCAGGAAATACCTCTAGTCTGTGGAATATTTATTATAACTCTATGATAGTGAAAGCATCACCTTTGAAGGACCAAGTTAGAGATAACATTCCATGGGGATGTGCTTGGGCTTCCTGGGGAAAAGTGGGGATCTCTGTGGAAATCTTCCAAAAGGCCCCATGGCAGTTCTGGTCTGGATTGTATGAACATTAAAAATGTCTTGGTTACTTTCCATAAAGAAGGGCCCAGCCCTCTTTTCTCTGTCCTGGGCTCCTGTTTCCCTTGGTTGAGGAGTATCTGTTGCTGCAGAATCACTACAATACAGGGAATTTAACTCAAAATCCATGAAGGAAAATACAATTACACTCACCAAATTCTTGCCAGAGCAGTTTTCCATCACAAATTCTGTGTGTAGAAACACATTTTTTTCTCATTGTACCTGCAATGTCTGAAATTTAAGATTTCTTTTTTTCTTTAGGCCTTCTGATAGAGAAATATATTTCTGAAAGGACTGAAAAAAATATATAACCCTAATGGGTATTTTTGTTATCTGGAGTGAGGCCTATTTAATTTTTTTATTCATTATTTTACACTTCATAGTTTTATGGTTATGACAGGAAAGTTTTCTGCTTTCTCTCATTTTTGTAATTTCATGAAATCAGGTATAGAGTAGGCAATTCCATTGAATTGAAAACTTCTTTGCTGTGGAAGATCTATGGGGAAGAATTAAGCACAAACAAAACTGTAATGGTTTTGCCTTAAAACCAGAGGGGTTAAAACGATTGAATTCTGATGAAGAAAACATTAATGCATGGAGTTTACAACCACCTGAGTGCTTACAACCACTTAGATGATAATAAATTCAGGCACATGGAAATACTTCATAATATAAGATTTATGTAGATTTCATGGAGAATTTATCCAGAGTAATTTGTATAAACTTAGAAGAATTATTCATCTCTCTCCTGTTTACGTTAGCCTGTAAGTAATGGTGGAGAGCTTCAAAACAGCTGACTGGGATGGAGGCAAAAAATTAATTTATTCCTTCTGATCTTCAAGTATATTCCTAAAGATAATAAAATAATTGCTGTAAATCATGGCCTAAGATATTTCCCATTAAATCTCAGTACTAAAAATGAAGGTGGTGACAGCAATAACTTCTTCCTTCGCTGGAGATTTTCTTTAAATAACTTTATATTCCATGCCCAAAGTTTCACAAGTCAGATATGGAATGAAGAGGATTGTAGCCAGTGCTAGAATTATCTTGGGATGATGATGTTGATGATAATAATAATAATAATAATAATAATAATGACTTTCTTAGGTGTGTGCCTAAGGACACACCTTCATTGACAAGGAGTGAGAATCTACTGGAATAAAAACTGAGCAAGTTCCTTTTCCAAGCATGGCCACAGGTCAGTGCTTGTGCCACCAGGACAATTCCCAGGCACAGACGTGGGGATTTGGGTTGTAATGATTTGGCTGCTCCCACGGGAGGCTCCAGTCTTGTGGAGGAGTGTCAGGAGTTGTGAATGATCCTCGTTCTCAGCTGCTTTCCCTTGATTTGCATTTGCTTCCGAGCCGCTTAACCACGGGTAGATTATTTCAATTTTCTTGGTGAATAATGCATGAGGGTGTATAAGTGGATGTTCCTTGGCTGAGTGGGCTGCAGATTAAAAGTGTCAGCTCCTTTGCAGCATTAATGTGCATTTCTTTCTCAGGTTAAAGCTGGAGAGAACCTAGATATGCTTTTTTTGGAGAACTCCTACAAGTGCCAAAATATTGGCAACGTTTGCTTTTTCTCTTCTTTTCCCCTTGACTACCTGTTATTTGAATGAAAAAGCCAGTTGCCAATTTTCCAGTACAAGCTTATTTTCCTTGAGACTCCCCCTCAAGATTTCAATGCCACATTGTTGTACCTGCTGCTTGAGCTTCCTGGAAACTGTCAGGAACAGGTTTTTTTTAAATTTATTTCTCTGTCACTCCTGTCAGCTCAGAACACTGATTCCTTCTCACTCCTCCTTCTTGCTCTTTAATGTGTCCCAGAGGGATAATTTGGAGTATCCTTTCCTGCTCTAGCAGCCCTGGGGCACAGACAGAGGCAATTCTTGTGTGTAACATGTGGAATGTTTCACGGAGGTAGAGCTAAACCCATTAAATGCTGTAATAATTGAAGTAACACTTCAACCCACCATGATCCACTTATTAGAAAAACCTCTTCAAATTTTTCCTTTATTAATTTATTAAGGGGCATTTAAGTATTTTACTGTACATTTGTTTCAGTCCTGGATTATGCAGCTATTTTCTTCGTTTTCAGCTTATTGGAGAAATACACTTTGATGCTCCAGATCTTTAGGAAATTAAAGCACAATAGTTGTCCTTGTTTGCTTGTGGTTAGATTGTATTTATAAGGCATTTATTCAAGATCATAATTGGATCCCTAAAATATCAAAACTCTGAAATTTATGGGCCATTCTAAACAAAATATTTAATTGGAACAGTGAAATGTGAAACCTTCCAGGGCTGCTTTAAACATAATAAATACTTCAGATAATGGTGTTCAATATGAGAGTCCTGTGGAGTGTGGCTAAAAAGAGCTTCCTAAAATAACTGAACAAAACAGTCTTCTAAACTAGAACTCTTCCAAACTCCCCAGCTGTAACAATATTCCTTGGAATTACAGACATCCAGACATGAGGTGTAGCAAAGTATGTTTCAAAGGTGCTTTCAAACTCAGCTTAGCCTGATATTTTAGGAGATAAAAGATTGAAGGAGTGTGAAACTGTAAGGGCTGCATAGTAAACTAGGCAGTGAATAGTGCAGCTGCTTAAAAAGCAGATACAGATTAAAAGCTACAATAACAGAACACAATAAATATTTAAAACCAGTCCAACAAGTGCTTTATGAACTTCTTACAGTATTTGGTGCTGAAAATGTCAGAGAAAATACTTGGGCTGGTTTTGGGTTGTAAAATATGAATTCTCAAAACCCAACCAAAGAATAACAGAGAAGAAACAGAGGGAAATGATGTTGGGGTTGTGATTTAAGTTTGGAATAATTCCAGCACGTGCTTTGCGAGCTCTTTTTGTGCTGGTGCTGCTGCACTTCCAGGGCAGGGGGCGGTGGTGGTGGTGTCTTGTCCCCCACTGCAGACGTTGCTCCCTGACCTGCACATTTGTTGCTCAAAGCAGTGTTTCTTGGCTCCAGGTATATCTCTAAGATATTCCAAGCTCCCAAGTCCTGTGCCACCTTCCTGTGCCAGCCTTAATCCCATTCAATGCTCTTGCAGTCCCTCATTGTCCTTTCCTCATTTCATGCTTAAAGTGACAGGGACAGCAGAGCAGGAGGAACTAAGAGGAAGTGAAGTTTCTTCCTCATCTCCTCTAAATGTTTGTTCTGTCCATTTTTCCATTTTCAAATTGTGCCATCAGAAGAGCTTTGCTTTTGTGGGTTTCTGCTTTCAAATTCTCCCCCTAACATGGAATTCTGACACCTAACTTCTTTTTGATATTGCCTTCATTCCTTTGCCCTTCTTGAAGGACCCAGCTTCCCATATCCAAGTAGAAGTCCCTGGAATCCATTGCTGTCAGGTAAGGGTTAAACCATGGTCATTTTTTTGTTTGGGGGCAGTAGTAGAAAGGTCTGATTTTGGTGCTCTTGTTCCTACTAAAGGTAAAACAAAGAGACATGGAATACTTCAGGAGTACAGCTTTCCAAAAGGAAAGGCTTCACATACCCATAATCTGTTGACTTGAGCTAAACTTGGTGGTAAGTAAAGAGAATTTCTAGGAAGAAATTCCTCCCTGTGAGGGTGCTGAGGCCCTGGCACAGGTTGCCCAGAGAGGCTGTGGCTGCCCCATCACTGGAAGCGTTCCAGGCCAGATTGGAGAGGGCTTGGAGCAACCTGGGCTTGTTGCAGGTGTCCCTGCCCATGGCAGGGGCATGAAACAAGATGATCTTGAAGATTCCTTCCAACCCAAGCCATTCTATGATTGTATTAAAAATTTTGGGCTCAGAATGACTCTGAACTCCATATATGGCATTGAGAACCTTGACAAGATGGATGGAATAAAATGGGTTTAGTATATTCATTGTGATTAATAGAATAATCTTCCTTAAATGTTTTATACTGAACCAATATATACAAAATAATTTATCTCATGAAGCGATTAAATGCTGCATGACCCCAGTCCCTGTGCCAAAGGGGCTGTGACTTCTTGAGAGGTTTGAGACTAAACACTCTTATTTTAAAAGTGGTGTTACTGCAAGGAGTACTGGATATTTAGGTTGTTAATGAAAAATGCAGTTGAGCACCTTGTCTCCCAGTTTTCTTGCAGATGACACTTCAGCGAGGATTCTGTGTGCAGGTAGGCTGCTCCATGTGGTCCTACCTTCCTTTTTATCAGGGAAAGCCAGTAAATGTGAAGCAGGAAAAGGACAGATGTGGTTGACAAACTTCTGCTTAAAAAAGGGAATGCTTTATTTCCATTAATACAGATAGGATTTTTTTTTTCCAGTCTCTTTTAATGGAAATGGTTATTGCTTAATATATGGATTTATTTTACTTTGTTTTAGTGTATTGATGTTTTAATGTGATTTGCAACGACTCCAAATTTCACTGAACACTGTAGGCTGGAACTTTTTTTAATTATTAAAAAAACCCCTCCTTATTTTTTCCTCAAAGTCAGCTGAATTTGGGCATGCATATCCTTTTGATTATCCCAGCTTTGGAATTTAATTGAGCCAATGGTCTTGATGCTGCTCTGGTTTTTGCAAATTGTGTGTACAAGCCATGCAGAATTACAGAGAAGATGGCTGTAGAATATACAGGCTCAAATTTATTTCTGTAAAATGTTTATCAAGAACAGTGTAGATGAGAAAAGCTTACATAAAGAGTTCCTGTGGTATGCCTACAGCAAGCCCACTTTTCCATGGACATGTGTCCAGACATCTGGGAATGTGCATATCCATTTTTCATGGTGCAGTGAGTGACAGAAGCCATTTTAGAGTAATTAAGTTCTCAAAACTTGGAAGAAAATCCTTCCAATTCCCTAGAAAAGAAGAGGAAATCTGAGGTTTTTCAGGGTGCTGGGTATTATTGAAAGCATAAAGGGAATGTTAAACAGACTTTGTGTAGTTTTAGAGGTATTTGCTCTTCTGACACTTTAAATCTATTGTATGACTTTGTGGATCTGAGTTCCTGAAGGGAGTGGGACTGAGTGTTTGATTCTGGATCAAAGGAATTATTTCCAGGATTTAAATGCATGTTGGAGCATCAAAAGCCCCACTAAAGAGTTCTCTTAAAACCCAAATAAACTTTTAAAATCAGCAGGGATGGATTAGCTAGTATGTTTTCCATCATGAGTGTAAGACATGATTCAGATTCCTTGTTTTCCTTGATGTTTGCACAGTACATTTTGGAGGAATAAATCATATGGGATAACTGTTTTGTATTATGGTTTAATTTGCTTCTTTTTGTTTGGAGAGAAGTCACTTAAACTGGGGAGAGACATTCAGTAAGAAAAGAATTAATTATTTTCTCTTGCCACTCTTATGCCTGAAAGAAAGAAATAATTTCTCAGTGTTAGTTCCACGTTGGTATAGGAAATTGTCAGGATGTAGATTCCTTTGGACTGGTGTTCATGAGGAGTGACAGTGCCTGGAAGCTCCAGTATTGATAGGGCTGACAGCTTTTAATTTGCCTCTGCAGCCTTGACCCACTCAGAGCTGTTTAGATATTTCAAATAGCACTTTTTTTGATTTTGATCAAGATGAGGGCAGTCTGGAGAAGAGTTTGGTGAAATCAGCATTATAATGAAAATATTTCAGTTTGTCAATCATCTGAATTCCTGTGCAGTGTGCTCTGCTCTTTGCCCAAGGTGGGAAGCTGTTCTCCATCCTGGAGACCTGGTAGTCAACCCCCAAGCTCCTGCCATTGTTTGTTCATAGCTCCCCTTACAACTTCCTTCTCTGGTCTTCCCCAATGTATTTTCAAGGCATTTAATGTTATTTCAGCCAAAGTGGTGCTGTGCTGTAACAGGAATGTTTGAAGCCTTGCCCCCTGAGCCCCAGCAAAGATGAAGTTTTCAATGCTGCTTGATTAGGTTTTGTGTTTCTTGGTTTAAAGTTATAATGTAGTGGCCCTGCAGATTTTTTAAAAATTTTATTCAAACTGTGGCATAACGAGGAATTACAGGTTGTCAGAATCAAATTGTGCTGCTTTTCCTACCATGGTTACAGGCTTTGTAAAGGAATGTATAGGTGTACCTGCTTTGGTTTTATTAGAAGGTGAAAATTATCTTGACTGCTAAGCTCTGCTTAGTTATATGACATTTTTCTGTTCTTGTCAGAAGCTGCCATGACAATTACTTAACAAGGAATTAAAATCTCAGGGCTTTCTAATTCTGCTCCATCTTTAACTGATAAATTGTTCATAAACACACAGTGTGTGGCATCACCTTTCATCTCTAAAAAAGGGCATTGAGAGCTCATCTAATTCTTAAAAGGATGAACGTGCAGAGGAATTAATACAAAATACTGAAAATGAAGAACACAGAACAGGTTAGAAAACCAATCTGCAAAACTGCTAGTCCTGCTTCCACTAATTTATATTTGCTTGCCTGCTTTGAGCTGATCTAGGCTTGACTTAGCTGGTGGTTTAGCAGTTCCCTGAGCCCAGCAAGCTCTTAGATCAGCCCTCCCTGCCCCAGGACACAGTGACTGAAGTGTCCCCCTGTCCCAGGCATCCCTGATTGATGGGATTGGAGCCCCTCCTGGGGGGCTCTGGTTTAATTAGCACAGCTTTGAGTCAGCCCCCAAAAGAAGGAGCACAGCACTTGCCTGAAGTGGATTTTGTCCCCTTTTCCATGCCCAGGAGCCAGGAATTGTATCAAATGGAAGGAGGAGGATGAGCCTGGCAGAAGCCAATGGAGGCTCAGTTTCATAAGGAAGAATTTGGCCCCACTGAGGCTGGGTAGTCACAAATCCTGCTCAGTTATTGAAAACAAGTGACAACTTCCCAGTGACGGCTCCCAAGCTGTGAAGAGCCTCCTGCATTTTCAGGAGCTTCTCCCTGGGAGCGAGGGAGGTTACACCAGGACACATCTTCTGATATCCTGTGACATTATGCAACGCACCCATCACGTTGCATCATCATTGAAATGCTGCTCAGATAATGTCTTTGCCTTGCATTAAAGCTTAATGACAAAAAATTTGAAATTGTACCATGAGAACAAACTGATTCCTACCAGCCTTCCTTCTGTACTGGTTTGAAAACCTTGGCTGGAGATGGAAATATTTAATCTTGGCTTTTTTTTTACCTTTTTAACCTTCTCAGTGTTTATTTTTTCAGAATTTGGGTGGAGAAATGAGATTTCCTAAAGAGCTGGAGTAGTACAATGGCCAGTTAAATCTTATTTTTTTTCTTACTCTCTTCTTACAGAGTTTTGCATGGGTGTTTGCATCCTGTTTAGCCTTCCATCTCTCATTTCAGTCTTCCTCTGGGAGACTTTTTGCATGCTCCAGTGCCCCTCATTGCTTAAACTTAAAATCAATAACATTTTGATGCCATGGAAAGATGTAATAGGATTACCAAATTAAAAAAAAATTAAATTTTGAAGTCTTTTTTTCATGGTAGTCCTTTTATGCTTGAATGGAGACCACATTCAGGACAATACCCAAGCTCCCAGGTGATCACAGCAAGTCATAGGGTGGTAGAAATTCTTCTTCTGTGGGTTTTTTGCCACTGCTTTGGTGGTTTTTACTCCACTCTGCCTTTCTCTCCATTTTGCTTCTGTGTAATAATGCCTGTGGGGAATTTCAGCAGTGACTTGCACAGTGAAACAGCATCAGTGAATTATTTAAAATAGGTATAGTCACTTTAGTGTGATTTAATAATTAAAACATCCTTTTAAAGACAAAGTCAGCTCCACAGAGGGCTGGGTTAAAGAACTAAGAACCTTTATTGGACAACTGGTGGCTGTGGCCAGGAGCCCTGAAGTTTATGGATTACCATGAAGTAGTCACCTCTGACAGCTATGGGAAGATCCTCTCAAATGGCTTGAAAGTCTCTGGTGGCTTATTTACTTTCCTATCAGTCAGTAAATTCAGACATAAATTATCATTGCACCTTCAGATTGTTAAAACAATATTGTTATTGTTAAAACAATACCTCTTTCTTCTTTCCGTCACTCTCTTCCAGATAATTGTTTAATGATGTAAATTAATAACTTGAATCTGTACTTTTAAATAAGGAAATGTTTTTAAAAACTTTCTTTTTAAAAGGCTTTCTATATAAAATGTGAAATTTTGACTCTTGATGTGGACATGCACACATATATAGAGTTAGAAAAGCCTCTGGCTAGCAGTTTATTTTCTACATCCATAGGTATAAATCCTTGAGAAGACCAGTGTAAATTGGGATGTTAGCTTTGGATTACAAACAGCTTCATTTAGGGAACCACGCAGAGAAAGGTATTGCCTGAGGAGGTGAAAATATTTTATTTCCCTGAGAAAACAAAGTGGTTGCTATGGGACAGAAAATGATCTAATGATGGCTTTCACACAGACATGTAACTGGACAGAATATTCA